TGAGTCTACGGGTCTCTGTGTACATATCCTTTACTCTTTGTCGTCCTCTTTAGATCGTGTCAGTGTACATGAGTCTATGAGTCTCTATGTAAGAAATTTGTGTCTAGGTGACCATGTGAGTCTGTGCAAGTCTATTTGGTCACTGTGTGTGTCATGGGTGATTATGTAAGGGCAGTGAATGTGAATGGAACAGCGGCACAACGTTCACGGAGACTCAGCCCATCATCCTTTCAGGGTCGATAAATAGAGTACCACTTTGTGGGGAAGCTCACAGTCGTCGTCATATGCATGGAGAGTGTCGCTTCCACCATGTGAATTTAGAATCACCCACCATTAGCTCTGCATGGCTGTGGACAGCAGGGATGAGTGCGGCATGGCTGAATCTTTGAGCATGAAATCACTCGAATGTTGACGTCTCCTTCCGTCTGCCACCGCGCCTCCTAAAGTTGGGGGGGGGGGGGGGGGTTCTTGAAGAACTCCCCCGAGAGGATTTGAAGAGATCTGAAAAGTGGAAAATCCTTCCTCGAGTTAATGACGCTAGGTAGCACGCAAGCACGCGCGCGGTGTGCGGACAATTGGATTTGACTTTGTGATCCAGGAGGAGAAAGTTGAATTTGTCGTCAGGGAAGCTTCTCTGCTGTTGTCCTAGAGACACAGAGACCGCTCTCTATCTCTCTCGGCTGTTGTCCTAGAGACACAGAGACGGCTCTCTCTGCTATTGCATAGAGACACAGGGACGGCTCTCTCTCTCTCTGCCATTGTCTAGAGACACAGAGACACAGAGACCGCTCTCGCTCTCTCTGCCATTGTCTAAAGACACAGAGACACAGAGACCGCTCTTCTGAACTCAACGTCCCCGTATAAGAGAGGTCACAAGGGAAGCAGCTCTGATTGTTATAATAAATATTAATGTGTGCAATTTTCAAAGTTAAAACTGTACGATATGACATTATGACTTAATCAATAATATATCGCATACACGTACGCACACACATACTCGTGTGTGTGTGTGTCTTGTGGATAAATAAACATAATTAAGTGGCGCTTTTTCTTGAAAAAATACAACGCACGTCACAACACAAATACCTTATGGGGTATGTATCTATATATGTGCGCGTGTTTTCCGTGTTTATAAAATACGCATATGTACATGTGTGTGTGTGTACGTGCACGCGTTTGGACCCGCGTGCACGTGTTGGCGTGTCTCTGCATGTGGTCGCCAAAAACTGTGTGTTGCGGATCTGTTTTTGCACGCATGTAATTCGGTACGTGTGTTTATTTAGATGTATCCGTGCGCGTGTGTAGTGAACGTGAGTCTGTCTGCGTGTGTCATTGTAAATCGAGGCGCGTGCGTTGCGTGTATTTGTGCCGGGGCTGTGTGCACCTAGCCTGGCACGAACGCCGTGGTTGTTGGTCTTCGGCTGCGTCCTGTGTGCGGATTATATACACGACGGGTTACTTGGCGAGATCAAAATGACGACGATTACGTCGTGTATTTGGTTGAACGTCCTTGCATCCATAGATTTTCTGCGGCCAAATTAACGTCTCTCGAGACAAAACTTTGATGACATTTTTTTGCATTTCAACATTTTTTTCTCTTCCCTTCTGCACGGCAGGTGGTTGTCACGCGGGGTGTATATCCGCCCCCGCCATAGGAATGTGGAACTTCCACCACTGGCTCAGGGCTGTAAACAGGAGATGGGTGTGCCCGAAGAATACCTGCTCAGAGAACGGACAAGAAACAAAGATCCCCCGTATAGCCTTGCACAGACTGCTGGGGCAAGTGCTGTTAGCGAGCACCTATTACGGCCGACACGGCACACGTGGGGGCCAAAACCACGCCCGGCCGCCTTTGTCTCCCCAGTGTTGATAATATTTACACACCGCACTAGGTACTCATTTAAAGGCCGAGTCGACCTAGGAGAGGGCCAGGAGAAGTTCATATATTGCCCACTGTTATTGGTCTTGAGCGGGAACGAGGAATTCGGTTGGCCTGGGTTCATAGCGTAGTGCGCTACCACTACGCCACCGCTTCCCATAGAAGAGACAAAGACAAAGATCCCCCGTATAGCCTTAACAAACTGTTGGGGCCAAGTGCCGTTAGCGAGCAGCACACACACAGACACCCACACAAAGACAAAGATCCCCTGGATAGTATTTCGCAGACTGTTCGGAAAAGTGCTGTAGCGAGCACCACACGCACACCCGCACACACCCATACACACACACCCGTACACACACACCCATACACACACACCCATACACCTACACACACACCCACGTGTTGCCACATTTGACCTCACCGGACGCGACCTGCCCATCGATGGATCGACTGTCCGACCGTGCCGGACCAATTCACTCCGCTGGGTGGACGGAGGCGGTGGCGGTGGTGGTGGTGGCGGAGATAGAGTCGGTGATTGTGCAGTGTTGGCGGTTGCGGTGGTGGCGGTAGCGTGGTGGTGCTGGTGGTGGTGGTAGCGGTGGTGGCGGAGATGGAGTCGGTGATTGTGGCGGTGGTGGCGGTTGCGGTGGTGGTGGCGGTGGTGGTGGCGGTGGTGGCGGTAGCGGTGGTGGCGGAGATGGAGTCGGTGATTGTGGCGTTGGCGGTTGCGGTGGTGGCGATGGTGGCGGTGGTGGCGATGGTGGCAGTGGTGCGATGGTGGCGGAGATGGAGTCGGTGATTGTAGCGGTGGTGGCGGTGTTGGCGGTGGTGGCGGTGGTGACAGCGGCGGTGGTGGCGGTGTTGGTGGTTGCGGTGGTGGTGGTGGTGGCGGCGGCTCGCGGAGAATTCAAGGAACGTCGTTTCAACCACCCAGGCGCCAGGACGTGGAATCGAACCGGCAACCTCTGGATCGCGAGTGACAGTGCGGTGATAACCGTAACACCGCTATGGCAGCCACCCTATACCGTAACGTAATATATCAACTGTTACACATACATAAATATCCCTGCATATGATCAGAATTTGGTATCGCCGCGATTATATACGCGCGCTTGCGTTGTGCTTCAGTAATTCTTGCACCTGAACAGGAATTGGGGGACTTACTTTTATGTCAAAGAAGAGTTCTTAAGCAGATAGCGTACAATCGGTAGCAAGTAGCCCGACTCGAGAAACCGTAACGAATGCATCGCGTGTGAGTTGCCATGCCCGCTGGTGCCGTGTGACGCGGAGGTTCTCGGGCAAACGAATTCGATCCCTCACTCGGTCCCCTGTTGCAGCAAACTCTGTAATGGATTTCAAAAAACAACAACACACACACTCCCATACACCTACACACACACACACACTCCCATACACCTACACACACACACTCCCATACACCTACACACACACACTCACTCTCATACACCTACACACACACACACATTCCCATACACCTACACACACACACACATTCCCATACACCTACACACACACACATTCCCATACACCTCCACACACACACATTCCCATACACCTCCACACACACACATTCCCATACACCTACACATACACACACTCCCATACACCTACACACACCTACACACACACACTCCCATACACCTACACACACACACTCACCTCTCATACACCTACACACACACACACACACACATTCCCATACACCTACACACACACACATTCCCATACACCTACACACACACACATTCCCATACACCTCCACACACACACATTCCCATACACCTACACATACACACACTCCCATACACCTACACACAAACACTCCCATACACCTACACACTCTCCCATACACCTACACACACACACTCCCATACACCTACACACACTCTCATATACGTACACACACCCCCATACACACACACACCCCCATACACCTACACACACACACACTCCCATACACACACACTCCGGATATCCCCACATTCAGTTCGACTCCAGGTTTTACCCAGGTCACTGCTGCAGATGGCCCAGGTCAGGTTACTCCTGGCCATCTCTCCAGCCCGCTCTCACGAGTTAAATGAAATCAATGTTCACTCTGCCTCTGTACTCCCGCGTTCAAGAGCAGAGTCGACTGCACATCCGGCCTGCGGAGCCTGGGTTTGAACTCCTGGTCAAGGTGCCTGAGGAGTGTTTGGGTTTGACTTCACGCCCAGCAAACGTGCGATGTTCATGTTTTGACTCTGGGTGGAACTTGCATGGGTTCGATTTCCAGTTGAGGTGCAGATTGTGATTTGGCTCAAGGTCTGGATCTGCGCACGGTGCACAAAAGTCCAGATGCAGATCGCGGTCCGGATGTAGCAGTGTGAGTTCGAATCCAGATCCAGAGTCCCGATCCACATCCGGGTTTGGGTACAGCAGCGTGAATTCGAATCCTGATCCAGGGTCCTAATGCGGATCCGTGTCTTGGGAGCAGCAGCGTGAATTCGAATCCTGATCCAGGTCATTAACCAATTCCGGGTCTTGAATGGAACAGCGCGAATTCAAATCCAGATTCTGAGTTCTTCGCCGCATCTGGGTCTTGGATGCAGCAGCGTGCGGCTTCGACTGTCAGCGGACTTCCGGCGGCCGCAAATCCCAAAATCCGATCCTCGAGTTCAGAGGCCAACTCCGGGTCTTGTTCTTCGACGCAGTTTGTGAGTCCGACTCCTCTGGGGGCGACGAGAGGCAGCGCCACTTCCACCGTGGGTGGGGTGTGGGGTGGTGCAACGGCCAGCGCGCCGCGCCACGAACCCGGCTATGACCCGAGTTCGATTCCCGCTCATGGCCACCAGCACCGGGGCCTGGGCCTCCTCCCCTAAAATGAGCACCCGGTGCGATGTGGGTAAAACAAACGTCGCCACTGCGGGAGACGACGGCGGCCGGGCGTGGTGCTGGCCGCCCACCACCCCGTCGTGTGCCGCAGCGCCAGTGGCCTTCATTCGGCGTCTGTTAATGGGACACGCGGGGCATCTTTGTCTTTGGGGTGTGGGTGGGGTTGTACGTTTAGACGGTAACCTCCAAGAGGGGATAGCCGCCCGCCCCATCCCATCGCGCCCCGTCAACCCCCCGCCCCCCTCCGCCCCCGCGGGTCCGCCGGCTCACACCTGCGACGGGTAGCTCTCGAGGAAGTCCCGAGCGGCGCGGGCAGCGGCAGCTCGGCGAGGCGCTCGCCGGGCACGGCGCGGTGGATGGCGCGGCGGCACGCGTGCTGCATGGACGGCGGCGCCCCGGCGTGGCGGGGCAGCGGGCGGGACAGCAGCAGCGGCAGGCGCGTGCCGTCGTCGTGCGTCACGCAGTAGCGCGCCCCGTCGCGGCGCCGGTGCCGGCGGTCGCCGCCGTCGTCGTCGCCGCCGCCCCCCCCCCCGGCCCGGTCGAGCCGGCGCGACTCGCCCATGTAGTGCTCGATGAGCTCCATGAGGCTGGCGAAGCGCGGCGCCGCGTGCACCGCCTCCTGCACCGTGTCGAGGGCAAAGGCGCCGGCGCGGAAATGTACGCGCACGCTGGTGGGGCCCCGCTCCGTCACGGCGCTCAGCGAGAAGAAGTGGGCCCGTGGCGGCTGTCGCGCACCAGGAAGGTGCCCACCGGCTTGCCGAGCAGCGCCGCGGCCGCCTCGGCGCTGGACAGGTGGCCCCAGTAGAAGCCGCTCTCCTCCAGCATGCGGTGGCTGCGCTGCACCGCGCAGAAGTCCTCCAGGCACGGGAAGGTGTGGAAGTGAGTCCGCACCCCGCCGCCGTCGCCGCCGGCGCTACCGCTGACGCCGCCGGTGCCGCCGCGGTTGCCGCGGCCGTTGCCGACGTTACCGTTGTCGTTGGCGACGCCGCGATCGCCGCCGTTCCCCACCGACGCCTGCCCCCCCCGCCGCCGCCGGTCGCGCTTCAACTTTTCGGGTTCGGCGCCGGTGGCGGCGGTCACCGGCCGCCCCGCGCCCAGCGCCATCGGCTGCGGCGCTGCCGATAGCCGTGGTGGTGGCGATGGCGGGTGTGGCGATGGCAGGTGTGGCGATGGCTGCCGTGGTGGCGGTCGTGGCGGCGGTGATGGTGATGATGGTGGTGGCGATGGTGGTGGCGATGGCGATGATGGTGGTAATGTGTGCGATGCTGGCACAGAGAGCCACGCACTGCTGCCACATGGTGATGTCTGCCGAGGGTTGCTGCCGCTGCTGCTGCTGTTGCAGCTGTTGCTGCTGTTAATGCTGCTGCTGTTGCTGCTGTTAATCTTGATGTTCCTACAGCAGCAGTTGCTGTCGTGGCTGCTGCTGTTGTTGCTGCTGTTGCTGCTGTTGTTGCTGTTGTTGCTGCTGCTGTTGCAACTGTTAATCCTGCTGCTGTTGCTGATTTTGTTGCTGCTGTTGTTGCTGCTGTTGCTGCTACTGTTGCCGCTGTTGGTGCTGCTGTACCCTGGCAGGAGGATGGGTGGTGCTGGCTGGAGTGGCGCTAGCAGCTCCAGCCCTGAGGTCGATGGCTCCGGGTCAGGGTCAGAGGTCCCTGGAGAGAACAATTACAATCATTATCGTTGTCATTATGCAGGAGAGTTGGTATCGACGCAGGGTGATCAGCACGCGCAGTCTACAGGAGTACCAGTGGGGGGGTTTGGGGGGTGGGATGTTGCCACGGGTAATATGCCAAGCGTCCGGTAACAAACGGCACACTGTTGAAGGTGGGAGCGTGCGGGATAGGACTCGTGGCCATGGCGAGAGTCAACGTTCCGTAGGGGTGCGGGTGGGAACGCTTCTTGTAGGGGTGCGGGCAGAAATAAACATCCCTATTAAAGTTGGGTGTTATCAGGCGGGAGCGGGGGCAGTGTCATGGATGCTGTGTGGGATAGGGCTCGTGGCCACGGCGAGAGTGTGAACGTTCAGATTTACCGATAGTGCTCCGGGTTTGGATGAGGGTCAAGGTTGAGGGGTTATGTGATTTGGTTTGGGTGAAGGTCTGCGTTCCGCTGAAGGTTAGGGGATTATCGATAGCGCAAGAGGGATTCGCATGTTGTTGTTCTTCGATTCTGCGTGGGTTTCGTCTGTGTTATCATCGCTATAAAACAAAACGTGTAATTTCACTGGGTATTGACCAAACTGCCAATCACTGAAATAATCTTTTTTTACTTTACCAGGTAACGCCCACTGAAAAGTGACCTGACCTAAAAAAATGTATTTCAACGAAGTGGCTTACCGTCATGTGTAAAATTTTTGAGCATGAAGTTGATTATAAATGTGGAGGGAAAGTCCGGCCATCCAGAGAAAAAAAATCCACGCGACCACGGGGAGAGAGAGAGACACGCAAACTCCAAATATACAGCAGGCGTCAGGGTCGAACCCACGATCTCCCGTATACCAGGCGAGGTGGTTAACATCTCGTCACCGTGTCGCACTCGATTGGGCTCGTACACACACACACAGCATCATCATCATCACCCCCTACTGAGCAAACTCGGCAGAACCCTCCTTGAGACGCGGTGAGTATTTCTCGTGGGTCATTTTGACCGCATTGTAAAAATGTTTTGGATGTTACGTTTGGTAGGCTTTGTTTTCGTTATAAACTGCTCAAACATAATTTTTAATTTGATTTCATCAGGCAAGGCTCTTAATTCTAGATTTGAAGCTTTCGTGACTGCAAGAATTCATACTCCTAGGTTTTTCGGTAAAGTCACGTAGGTAAAAATAAATAACAAAAATAAATAATAAAATGATATAACGAAGAATAAAAATAAAATAATTATATAATAAATTGATAGAAACGGTAATAGAAATAAAAGAATCATTTTATTTATATTATTATTTCTATAATTTTAATATTTATTTTTTATAGATAAAGTAATTATTTTATTTCTATTATTATTTCTATCATTTTATTATTTATTTTTACCTACGTGACTTCACCGAAAAAAAAAACCTAGGAGTAAGGCTCTTAATGTTCAGTAGCGACATGGCAATCACAAATGAGAGCTCAACAAAGTGGCTCATCATCAGCACGTGGAACTTTCTAGCTGCCAAAAAATACCGCTCGAAATCGGAGGGGACCCGGCACATCGGAGACAATCCGCGCTCAGAACAGAGAGGGAGAAGACACAGACCTCCACGCACGGGAAGCGTCCGAGTCGGGAGTCGAACCCGGGGCTCCCCCCCCCGCCCCCTTCTCGCTGTGGGCGAGTGATCGTGGGGAGCGGTGGTGCAGCGGTTAGCGCGCTGCCCTACGAACCCGGCGAGTTCCCGAGTTCGATTCCCGCTCACGGCCAACACCGGTGACGATTATTACCTTCGGTAGTTTTCCCACTGCCCTGACTAGTTCGGCACGATTCGTAACGCTCTGTGGCAGTGCAACTCGGCTACACCACGTCACTGACACAAAGACAAAGATCCCCTGTATAGCCTTTACGGACTGTTGGGGCAAGTGCTGTTAGCGAGGAGCAACCAATGAAGGCCGGCACGGCGCACGAGGGGGTGGGTGGCCAGCACCAAGCCCGGCCGCCTTTGTCTCCCCAGTGGCGATGTTTAATACACACTGCACCATTTGAGGCTGAGTATACCTAGGGGAGACCCAGGGCTGGTGCAGATAATCGTCACCGGTGATGCTGGCCGTGAGCGGGCTTCGAACTCGGGTCGCCGGGTTCGTAGCGCAGCGCGCCGACTGCTACACCACCGCTCCCCACTCGCTCATACAGAGACACTCCCTCATATACGCAGACACACTCTCGTACAGACACACACAGAGACACACTCTCGTACAGACACACAGAGACACACTCTCGTACAGACACACAGAGACACACTCTCGTACAGACACACACAGAGACACACTCGCGTACAGACGCACACAGAGACACACTCTCGTACAGACACACACAGAGACACACTCTCGTACAGACACACACTCGCGTACAGACACACACAGATACACACTCTCGTACAGACACACACAGAGACACACTCTCGTACAGACACACACAGAGACACACTCTCGTACAGACACACACAGAGACACACTCTCGTACAGACACACACAGAGACACACTCTCGTACAGACACACACAGAGACACACTCTCGTACAGACACACACAGAGACACACTCTCGTACAGACACACACAGAGACACACTCGCGTACAGACACACACAGACACACAGAGAACGATCTAGATGTGAAGCTTTCGTGACTGCAAGGATTCATACTCTTAGTTCTATCGGTAAAGTCACGTAGGTAAAAAATGAAACAAAAATGAAATAAAAATAAAACAATAAAATCACGACGTTTCGGAGGTCCCACCTGATGACGGAGACTTGTGTTGCCTCCGAAACGTCGTGATTTTATTGTTTTTTATTTCATTTTCGTTTCATTTTTTACCTACATGGTGACTTTACCGAAAGAACTGAGAGTATAGAAAACGATCTCCCAGGCGTGCCGCTGGTCGCGGTCTCTCTTCAGCTTTAACGAAAACTCCAACAGCATCACCACCACCATCACGACCACCACCACCATCACTTCCATCACCACTAACATTCCCATCACTACCATCACCACCATCATCACTAACGTCACCATCACTACCATCATCATCACTACCATCACCACTACCACCATCATCACCGTAACTCGGGAACGCGTCTCCCCGCTACGTGGCCTCCATTGATTAGAAACACCATCGAGGAAGAGACGGATGAACCGCACAGGGTTTGTGCCGTGTGAAACCCTTCACCCCCACCTCGAATTCCACTGTGGAACTCTGAACGTCTCCCACATCCCCCATCATTCTCCCATCACCCTCCCCCCCCTCACTCCCCCCCCCTCACTCTCCCCCCTCACCCTCCCCCCTCAATCCCCTCACTCTCCCCCCTCACTCCCCTCACTCTCCCCCCCTCACTCTCCCCCCTCACTCCCCTCACTCTCCCCCCCTCACTCTCCCCCCCTCACTCTCCCCCCTCACTCTCCAACCTCTCCCCCCTCACTCCCATCACTCTCCCCCCCTCACTCTCCCCCCTCACTCTCCCCCCCTCACTCTCCCCCCTCACTCTCCAACCTCTCCCCCCTCACTCCCATCACTCTCCCCCCCTCACTCTCCCCCCCCACTCTCCAACCTCTCCCCCCTCACTCCCATCACTCTCCCCCCCCTCACTCTCCCCCCCTCACTCTCCCCCCTCACCCCTCCCCCCTCAATCCCCTCACTCTCCCCCCTCACTCCCCTCACTCTCCCCCCCTCACTCTCCCCCCTCACTCCCCTCACTCTCCCCCCCTCACTCTCCCCCCCTCACTCTCCCCCCTCACTCTCCAACCTCTCCCCCCTCACTCCCATCACTCTCCCCCCCTCACTCTCCCCCCTCACTCTCCCCCCTCACTCTCCAACCTCTCCCCCCTCACTCCCATCACTCTCCCCCCATCACTCTCCCCCCATCACTCTCCCCCCCTCACTCTCCCCCCTCACTCTCCAACCTCTCCCCCCTCACTCCCATCACTCTCCCCCCCTCACTCTCCCCCCCTCACTCTCCCCCCTCACTCTCCAACCTCTCCCCCCTCACTCCCATCACTCTCCCCCCTCACCCTCCCCCCTCAATCCCCTCACTCTCCCCCCTCACTCTCCCCCCTCACTCTCCAACCTCTCCCCCCTCACTCCCATCACTCTCCCCCCTCACCCTCCCCTCACCTCCCCTCACTCTCCCCCCTCACTCTCCCCCCCTCACTCTCCCCCCTCACTCTCTCCCCTCACTCTCCCATCACCCTCCCCCCCCTCACTCTCCCCCCTCCCTACCACCCCTCCCCCCTCACTCTCCCCCCCCCTCACTCTCCCCCCCCCCCCTCACTCCCCCCCTCACTCTCAAACCTCTGCCCCCTCACTCCCATCACTTTCCCCCCTCCCTACCACCCCTCCCCCCTCACTCTCCCCCCTCACTCTCCCCCTCCCTACCTCACTCCCCCCTCACTCTCCCCTAATTCTCCCACCTCTCCCCCC